TATATAAATACTTCACAAAAAAAGGTTCCAGGTTGTGTATACATGTACATATATAGTTTGAATGAAAATTTCCCATCTGGGCTGCCAGTGATCCCCTCAAGGACCATATACTATCTAAACAGAAACCCCCACACCAGGTATGACAGTTGCTTGTCAGGGTTGTCCAAGAGACTCTGAAAGCATTGCTATTGCCCTTAGTTGCTTCCCAGAGGTGAAGGTAAGTTCTTACTGGAGAACACATGAACTTTGGACACAGGATCCTGAGAATCTGAGCTGGATCTGACCTGAAAACTTCTTCTCTGAGGATTGGCTTTCATGGTACCAGAAGATATGGAAGCTACCAAGTAAGAGACACAACCAATAGTCCTATGAACTAAAACAATGACCAGAATGGCACAGTATCCCTAAGGATGCAATAGTAGCATGCATACCTTGGTGGTAACTAGTAGTTCTCTGCTTGTGCTTAAGGCCCACGGTAAGTATGCCTGGTCATGGAAGCCTAGCAAACTTCCCTGGAGCTACTGAAGTCATGGATCTTGGAGGAGAACCTATAACCACCACTTTACTAATCCAGCATAATTTTTTTTTTAATTTTTCGAGGGGGCTGGAGAGAGAGCTCAACAGTTAAGAGCATTGACTCCTCTTCCAGAGGTCCCAGGTTTGATTCCTGGCACCCACATGACAAGTCACAGCTCTCTGTAACTTCATTTCCAGGGGATCTGACACCCTCACACAGACATACATGCAGGCAAAAGTACCAGTGCATGTGAAATAACATTAAATAAATCACTTGAGTTTTTGAGACAGGGTTTCTCTGTGTAATAGTCCTGGCTGTCCTGGAACTTTATTACATCCTAAATATTTATTGTTATACCTACAGGTAAGTGCAGGACTCACCCCAATCAAAGAAATGTCTTCTTTCAACAAATGGACACCATTACAGAAAACCACAACTGATCAAAATGCAGAGAACAAGAGATCATGTGGTGCCGAACCCCAACTGATACATCTGCCACAAAATTCCTGCATCTAAGGCTTAGGGGTCTTAGTGGAAGTGAGGGAGGAAAGACTGTAAGAGCCAGAAAAATAAGAAATTTGCAGTGAGATTTTGTTTCTTAGAAATGACAGAGAAGCTACACCCACAAAGTCTCACCAACATTGCTGCCTAAACAAGACCTGAACAAGGATGACACTAATAGACACCTAACATGGAAGCGGGAAATCTCATGAGGCCTCAACCCTAGACAAAGCACTACAGGCAACTAAGGAATGCTGAGAGTGGGAGAAATGGTCTTCCCCAGGGAAGATGCACCATTTAATTATCCAATACTGAGTGGTCAGCCCTGAAAAATATAGACATACAAGTAACATTGTATGAACAGAGCAGGCTGTATTTGTATATTTAGGAATTATGTATATGTGTATGCATGTGTGCGTGTGTATGTGTGTGTGTGTGTGTGTGAGAGAGAGAGAGAGAGAGAGAGTGTTAAGGGAGGTAAACGGGAAGGGTCAGAGGGAGGAAAAGAAAGGGAATGATGTAATTACATTTTAATTTAAAGAACATGTTAAAATGGCAATATTTCAGAAAGTGCTTAGCATTCTGCTGAAGATTCAAAGAAATGTAAATTAAAACTGGTGAGGTGTTACATACTCATCAGAGTGGTTAAAAATGAGAAAAAGCAATGTGCAGTGCTACATACACATGAAAACAAATACTAGGAAGCCCATTATATCATGTTAACTAAAAGAATTAATAAAATATAAAATAGGCCAGTCATAATGGCACACACCTTTAATCCAAGCACTCTCTAGGCAGAGGCAGGTGGATCTCTGTGAGTTCAAGGTTAGCCTGGTCTATATGAGTTCCAGACGAGCCAGGGCTACATAGTGAGACCCGTCTCAACAAAATAAAACACCAACAAACAAACAAACATAAAATAGTAATTAAAAGTAAACAAAGTAAAAGCTGAATATACAGTGTTTTGGGATGAAACTGAAACAACTAACACCATGATAATAAAAGTATGAGAAACTTAAATCATTTGGAAAAGAAGAATAAGACTGACTTTACCCAGCCCCCTGGCTTCCTATCTAGAGATGATGAGCTTTGTTTTTCTTGACACCAAAGCTGTGACCTGCTGTTTGGACTCTTAACTTTTAAAACTGAATTTTTTTTCTGTTTCTTTTCACTTCCTTCCTTCCTTCCTTCCTTCCTTCCTTCCTTCCTTCCTTCCTTCCTTCCTTCCGTTTTTTGGCACAGGGTTTCTCTGTGTAGCTCTGGCTGTCCTGGAACTAGGTCCATAGACCAGGCTGGCCTTGAACTAAGAGATCCACCTGCCTCTGCCTCTCAACTACTGCACCACCATGACCACCGAGCCTATTTTTTCTTAGTAAGTAATCTTCCTCATCAATTTTGTTACGGCTGTGGCTGTTGGACAAATGCATTGATCTAAAGCATCAAAGCAGTTGATTTAAGTAAGCCAGAAAGGTAGTGAGCAGGGGGCGGTATAAGGAACTTATGTGGCCTAGAAACATGATTTTTCTTGATCTGTGTGTTGGTTTCACAGACATGTTCACTTTGTGAGAACTCACTGATGCATTTAGGATGTTTGCAGCCTACTGTATGTATTTTAGATCTCAGTAAAGAGCTTTTCCTAAAAGACAATTGTAACTGGAAGTTTTCCTGTGCCCCACCCGGTCTGTAACCGCTCAGATCCAAGTAAACACACAGAGGCTTATATTAATTAAAACTGCTCGGCCATTAGATCAGGCTTATTACTGACTGGCTCTTACACTTAAACTCAGCCCATTTCTGTTAATCTATATGTCACCACGTGTTCCGTGGCTTTACCTGTGTGCCGTTACATGTTGCTCCTTGGGCAGCTCACTGGCATCTCTCCCTGACTTCTTCCTGTCTCTCTCTTTGAATTTCCCACCTGCCTCTAAGCTGCCTTGCCATAGGCCAAACAGCTTTTTTTATCAACCATTCAGAGCAACACATATTTGAATCATATAGAAAGACATTCCCCCATCAGACAATTTTAGGTTAAGCTTGGTGGCACATGACTGTAGTCTCATTCCTATTTGGTAAGAAGCTGAGGTAGCAGTATTGCTTGAGCACCCAAGTCTTGATGAGTCTGGATGATAGAGCCTCAATAAAACACAGTTATAGTTCACTTAATTCATGATTCTACCCAAGTTGCAGTTCATATTCCTTGCCACTATGTAGGGCTTCATTGAAATGACTTAGACACTAGAGTCACTGACCTGTGAATTGGCTCTTTTGGGGAGTTCACCACCCAGCTCCCAAATAAATCACATGGAGGCTTTTTCTTACTTATGAATGCCCAGTCTTAGCTTGGATTGTTTCTAGCCAGCTTTTCTTTTTTAAATTTAATTTTATTTAATTAATATTTTTTTCATTTATTTTACATACTGGTCACATTTTCCTCTCCCTCCTTTCCTACCGTTCCCTCCCCCAACTCCCATCTACCTGCCTTCCCATCCACTCCTCCTCTGTCTTTTCAGAAAGGGGCAGGCCTCCCATGGGCTTGAACAAAGCATGCTAGCCAGCTTTTCTTAAATTATCCCATCAACCTTTTGCTTCTGGGCTTTTATCTTTCTCTATTTCTGTATATCTTTGTTTCCTTCTTATTCCATGTCCTGCTGTGTGGCTGGGTAGCTGGCCCCTTTTTTTCTTGTTCCTTGATCTTTTTTCCCAGATATCTCCTCCTATTTATTCTCTCTGCCTGCCAGCCCCACCTATCCTCCTGCCTGGCTATTGGCCATTCAGCTCTTTATTAGACCAGTCAAGTATTTTAGACAGCTTCACAGAGTTAAATAAATGCAACATGCAATACATCTTTGCATCATTAAACAAATGTTCCACAGCATAAACAAATGCAACATATCTTTAATATTCTACAACAATAACTGAATCAACATAGTCCAATATAACATGTGAGTCAAGCAATAAAATAACTCACTTTCTTTGTCCTGGTTAAAGCACTAAGGTTTGAGATTGGGGCTGGCAAGAGGGCTCAACTGGTCACCAAGCTTAATGAATTAAATTAAATTCGAGGGATCTATATGGTGGAAGGAGAGAAATGGACTCCTATATGTTGTTTTCTGATCTCAACTTTAGTGTTATGGCACATGTAGACCCCCAAGCAGATACACACAAACACACCCATTAAATAAATAAAATGTAATAAAAATAAAAAGATGAGATCACTCAAATTCCAAGATTATAAAACCAAACTTTCCTGACCTCCATTTAAATTAACTGGGTGTGTTAATTATTTACTCAGGTAATGTGTACTTTGAAAGACATTGATTAGGTTGGATCAACATTGAATCATGTCACACAATGAGTAAATGTTGGTGAACGTCTTTCACGATGAGAAGGATGCAAAGTAGAAGGGACACGGCTATAGCCCCAGCTCTACCACCTACTTTGTGTGTCTTTCTTTGGCCAAAGCACTGACTCTCCAAGGTTCACCTTCCTCCAACCTCAAAATGGATAAGAGAGCTTGAGAGAACCCCAAGAGTTTTGATGGGTGTGAAATTTCCTTATAAATTGTTAGGTATCCCAGTAAAATGGGTAATAAAACATTGTATGTTTGGGTTCTTAGCAAAACTTAATTTTCCTGTACTGTAGCTCAAAATTATGATGCCAATTCATTATTACTCACAACAGCCAAGAAATAGAAATGGGATGGAGAGAGGTCTCAGTGATTAAGTGTACATACTGTTCTCGTAGAGGCCTGGAATTTGGTTCCCACTACCCATGTCAGGTGGCTCAGCACCCCCTGGAAATTCCAGTGCCAAGGGGACTGACACCTCCCTCTAGGCTGCACAGGCATCTGCATTTGTGCGCATGTACCAACACACAAACACACACACACACACACACACACACACACACACACACACACACACACACTGAAAAATAAATCTTAAAAAAAGATAAATTAACAACTTAAATGTCCATCAACAGATAGATGGATAAAAATATTGTATGCATATAATGTGGCATTCAGCCTTATTTGGCACAATATGGATGAGCCTGAAAGACCCATTGAGTGAAAGGAGCCAATCAAAGGAACAAAGTACTGTATGACCTCATATGGCTAAAAAAAAGCTAGTCAAGCAAACAAAAGTGGAGTAGAACCAGTTGTACCCAGGGGAGAAGGGGAAGAGGAAATAGGAAGAACTAGGTTGTATGTTTCTATTGACAGTTAGATAAAATGCACAGTGATTTCATGTAATACGTAAGGGAAGCAGCCAATAATTACTACTATGGTAATATAATTGAAAACTTTCTACAAAGTAGACTTTTGGTGTGTGTGTGTGTGTGTGTGTGTGTGTGTGTGTGTGTGTGTGTGTGTGTGTTGTGAGTAGAATGAACCGAAGGCCTTGCACATACTGGACAAATTATCACTGAGCTGTATGCCTGTTCTTTAGCATCTGGGTATAGCATAATAATAAAACTCATTGCAAAGGGAGTGAATGGACAGATTTAGGTTCTCCCTTCTAGAACCCCAAGAAGCACAACCTTGCTTGAAAGAAAAAGTAACTGGTGTAAGGTGGTGGATTATGTCCCTTTGTTTGACTATAGTGATCACTTAAATATGTATATCAGAGTATCATATTGCATACTTTAAATATCATCAATAAAAATAAAAATTCAAGGGGGCTGGAGAGATGGACCAGCAGTTAAGAGCACTGGCTGCTCTTCCAGAGGACTCGGGCTCAATTCCCAGTACCCACATGGCAGCTTACACATGGCTTCTGACATCCTCACATAGACATACATGGAAACGAAACACCCATGAACATAAAATAAAAATAAATTTAAAATATTTAAAAACAACTCCCCATACTGGTTAATTTAGGACAGATAGAGCAATAGCTTTACATGCCATGCCTGTGTGAAAGTTCTGCTCTCGTGGTGGTGGTACACATCCTTCCGGTCCAGCTCACTGTGTGGTCCTCAGGGCAGTGGGTCTGTATGCTGAAGTCCCTGTTCCATCCCTCCCAGCAGCATATGCCTGAACTCTGGCTAGCTAACTCTGAAAATCCTCTGTCTGCTCTGGGTTATTGTATTTCTTCATCCCAAATGGTAACAAGCCAAATTGTGACGGAAGCAGCTGTTGTTTCTGGACTGCCAGCTGCTGAGGAATGAGGAAGATAATCCAGAGACGTGGCTCTTCTGCAGAGACTGAGCAAGATGGTGGAATAGTCGGCAATCAACACTCTTTCCCCAAGAGAATCATCCATCTAAACAACTGCCCACACAAGAAAACACTGCCACAGGAGCTAAAGAAATCAGGTGAGAGACCACAGCACCTGGGCATAGCATAATAGTAAGAAAAGTCACACAGAAAGCAGGGAGAGAGTACAGATTTGTGTCATCCTTCCCTAAACCCCAGACAGCACAGCATGGGAGGAAATGAGGATAATGTGCATGAGGCTTTGCCTTGGACCCTCAGTTAGCTGAGAGAGTTTCCCCTCCTGATGGAATGAAAAGGAGAAACTGTATTATTGATTTAATCTCTAGAGAATATGAGCCTCATTTTGTCAATGTCAGTGTGGTGTACATCCTGAGTGATGTCCACGAGCTGTGCCAATACAGGTCTGTTATCCGGCACTCTCTGAGGGGTGAAAAGAGTATCTTCTGCCGGAAAGGGCTTTGTAGGATATCAAATGGCAAAAGGTGTGTGTGTTTACTGAGTTAATTATGTGGCTTAACTGGTCATGAATCAACTCTAGTGTTACTACAGCACACTTAAAGCATGTTTAAAAAGAGCTTCATTTTCAAGGTATGTATTGCAATCACTGGGAAATTTTACTGAGTAAACATTATATGTAAGTATATGATTTGCCTTCAATGTTTGAACAAACTTTTGACCAAATGATTTACTTCATTACCCTCCAGTTTAGATTGCATGTTGGAATCATCTGTAGTGGGAAAAACAAAACAAAACAAAACAAAAAAAACGGTAAATGGGTCCCACCCTGGGCCAGTTCGGACAGGTTTTCAAGGTGGAACAGTAGTGAGTAAGAGTGAGGAACAGCTTCTGTTTGTATTTTTCAACAGGCCAGAGTCCACAAAGAAGAAAGATTAGAGCAAACCTCGCTGATTGGTCACTTACGCCTCAGAGGCACATGTTGAGTTAGTAGCTAGCATTATAAAAGCTCTGGACTGCAAGCTCACAGGTGTCTCCCTAAGAAGAGAAGGCTGCCATGGATCCAGTCCTGGTCCTGGTGCTCAGTCTCTCCTGTCTGCTTCTCCTCTCACTCTGGAGACAGAGCTCTGGGAGAGGGAAGCTCCCTCCTGGCCCCAGGCCTCTCCCATTTATTGGAAACATTCTGCAGATAGATGTGAAGGACATCAGCAAATCTTTAAACAAAGTAAGTGCTTTTCAAGCTCCTCTACTAGGTTACAGAAACAAATTTAATCTCAGCTATTATTTAACTATTTTATTGTAAAGCAAATATTTCCATAGGTTCTTTAAATTAGAGTGCCATTGTCAGGAATAGTAGAGTGCTATAATGCATATAAATTCTCTCTCTGAGCTTGTGTGTGTGTAGATGTTTTGTGTGTGGGTGAAGAGGCCGGAGGTTGAAATTGAGTGTCTTCAATTGTCTCTCCATCTTATTTTTCGAGGCAAAGTAGGTCACTGAACCTAGAGCTCAGTGATTGGCTAGTCTGGCTGACCATCAAGCCTCAAGCCCCAGGATCCTCCAGTCTCTGCCTTCCCAGGGCTAGGATTATTGACCTGAGAACAGCGAGCTTTTATGTGTATGCTGGGTTCTGGTCCAATTCTCACGGTTGCACAGCAAACATTTACTGAACCATCTCCTCAGTCCCAAGGGACGGGAAAAATTGTAGATTTCTAATTCTTAGTCACAGAATGCCCGGAAAAGTGCTCTGTAGGTGATCTTGAAGCAAGTTCAATAGCAGCTGGATTTTGTCCAGTGTGGACTTTGGTGACTGACTGCACAGGAAACAGAGATTCACTAAGCAGGGCTCAAATTTGGATCTTTTAGTTATGTAATACTGAGATGAATTTGAAATTCTTCGAGCCTCAGTCTCCTTAGCTGTAAAATTAATAAATGTAGCTCAAGGTATTGGTTAGTTGTGATGATCTATATAGGATTTCCCTCATAAATTCTTGGCAAATGGGGGACATTCTGCCTGTGACATCTATAACAGGCAGCATGGTTTTTATGCATGAAATAATTTTATGTATAAAACATTTGAACCTGTTTTATAGGAACAAAAAAATCATCAACAGTATGATGGCATCAGTAGATTATGTACAATATGAAGGCTACATCCTGATTTTATTTTTGCTGTTATTTGAATTTTTTTCCCCAATTTTTCAGTTCTCAAAAGTCTATGGCCCTGTGTTCACTCTGTATTTTGGCATGAAGCCCTCTGTGGTGTTGCATGGGTATGAAGCCATGAAGGAGGCCCTTGTTGATCTAGGAGAGGAATTTTCTGGAAGAGGCAGTTTTCCAGTATCTGAAAAAGTAAACAGAGGCCTTGGTAAGTGTGAGGACAAAAGTATGCATGCATGAATTGGGCCTTAGCCATGCAGATGAGGCAGGATGAGCTCTTCTGAGCCATCCAGATAGTTTCATGTGCCAGTTCCTTGTCTGCTTCCTGACTAGTTCTTGTTTCCCATTCTTGTAGGAATCATTTTCAGCAATGGGATGAAATGGAAGGAGATCCGGCGTTTCTCCATCATGACCCTGCGGAATTTTGGGATGGGGAAGAGGAGCATTGAGGACCGTGTACAAGAGGAAGCACGGTGCCTTGTGGAGGAACTGAGGAAAACCAAAGGTAGGTGTGTGTCACTTTGTGTCACTGACCAGATTGCTCCCTTCTTTAATGATCTCCATGGCAACACTGCTGGGACAGCCAGATCTTACACTGAGGGAAATGCTTGGCAACTCTATGCAAGTGGGATGGTTTGGTACAGAGCCAAGGAAGATTTTGTAGCTAGCTCAGTGCCTTCCGTGTTGGTAAACAATTTTTGTACATATGGGGTGGGGATAAAAACTCATTAAATTCTATTTTGCACCAAACTTTACTTTCAAACAATGCCATACAGATAGAAGGATTGAATATCGCTCTTCAAATTTGGCAATGTTCCCCCATAGCATAATTGTGGGCTAACTATTCTAGAACATTTCACTAGGAAATGTTTGTGAGAGGGCATTACTGAAGTGACCTGCTACTCCATGGAATGTAAAACCATGCATGCTTTTGCTTAATTGGTCTGGTTGGTAGCATCAGTCTCCCTGACAGACATGTCTGGGGTTCTTCAAAGGCCCATGTCTGCAGTGTTCACAACAATGGTGTCTATGCCTGGTTTCTAGTTCCTGGGCATTGTTAATGCTCCCTTAGCACTTGTGACTTGTGCTGTGGGATGTTCTGTATGGCAAATGTGTTGCTGATTGGTTAATAAATAAATCACTGATTGGCCAGTGGCCAGACAGGAAGTATAGGCGGGACAAAGAGGAGAATAAAGCTGTGAAGTGGAAGGCTGAGTCAGAGAGACACTGCCAGCCGCCACGATGACAAACAGCATGTGAAGATGCCGGTAAGCCACGAGCTGCGTTGCAGGGTATAGATTTGTGGAAATGGATTAATTTAAGCTGTAAGAACAGTTAGCAAGAAGCCTGCCACGGCCATACAGTTTGTAACCAATATAAGTCTCTGTGTTTACTTGGTTGGGTCTGAGAGGCTGTGGGACTGGCAGGTAACAGAGATTTGTCCTGACTGTGGGCCAGGCAGGAAAACTCTAGCTACAGACTTGCTTCTCCGTTTGTCACTATTTAAAGATGTCAGCTGGAGTTACTTAATGTTACTCACTTGGACTTTATTATTTACATATTTTAAGAGTCATCTACATTATAAAAGATAGTTTTAAATTGATTTATTGAACTAAATCTGAATTACTATTAATGCTTAATCTCAACTTCCCTAATTATAATTTGGCTGTATTTCAGTTCTTCTTGTTATCCCCTATCTTGATTTTTGTACTAGTTGTGAATTTTATTTTCTATATTTTATGAGGCTCTGACATCTTGGGCTGCCCCTCCCAAGGCTAGATAATTGATAACAATAGCAAATACTTTACCCAAAGCATGCTTTTGGCGTACAGATCAGCCTATCTATGGCCATCAACCACCTCTTTTAGTAAATTCCCACATACCAAGTCCATGTTCTTTCTGTATATCCATCCAGGGCCAGGTGCGTGAACAGTTAGTGACCCAGAGATCTCTGCAGTTAGTCAAACTTTTCCATCCTAAGCTCACAAAGTCTGCCTTTCCTGTCCTAGTCAACCCTTTGCACAAAACTCTGGCATAGGCTGGCTCTCTGCTTTTCCTTCCCCATCACTGTCCTGGACTGTGGTGGCACCATGAGCTGCCCATCCTGTCATGTTATGGATGGCCCCTCCTGTGGGAACTGGCCTTGTCCTTTTTTGGGGTTTGTTGAATGGCAACCTGATCTGTGACATTCACTGTATCTGAATGAAAAGAAAATTATGGCTGAATTTTGAAACACCTGGATTTTGAGTTAGAATATTGATGGTAATTGTTACCTACCCTGGTATCTTGGCTTCACTCATCTGTGATGTAGTTGTCATAGTAAATATGATTTTCAGCTTGATTTCCAAATGCCCTTGATATTTACATGTCTTGTCAAAATGAAGTGGAAGGCAAAACTGATAACCAGACTTTCACTGTAAACCTCTCTTGCCCCAAATCTCAAATTAATAATTCCCAATGATTATCTCTTTCTCTCCTAGGCTAAAATAAAATTCTGAACATTCAGTGTTACGGTGTGTTATAACAGAAAAGGGGCGTGACTTAGGCATAGTTAACTACTGAATAGGCTTCCTCTGTTGAATTCCTCGCCACTTGTGCTTAGATCTTTTAAAACTAACAAATGCCGGGCGGTGGTGGCGCACGCCTTTAATCCCAGCACTCGGGAGGCAGAGCCAGGTGGATCTCTGTGAGTTCGAGGCCAGCCTGGGCTACCTAAGTGAGTTCCAGGAAAGGCACAAAGCTACACAGAGAAACCCTGTCTCAAAAAAAAAAAAAAAAAAAAACAACAAAAAACCCAAAAAAACTAACAAACAATAATTGTAGGCATTTATGGAGTCCAGTAAAGAACGTGACACATGCTTGTGATTTGTAATGATTATGTCTAGTTGCTAGCATCTCATCTTCTTAGACATCAGTTCTTTTTCTTGGGAGAATTAGAACCACTGTCTTCTAGTTCTTTATAAAACATGTAATGAGTTGATGTCAACTGCTATTGTGCTGTGGATAACCAGAGTTGATTCCTCCTTTGTAGCTGTATTTGTCTCCTTTTATCTAGCTTCTCTCTTTTTCCTACACACCCCTTTTCATCTCTAGTGAACATCATTATCATTTCACTTTGTTTTTTGTAAGATCAACTTGTTTTTTAAGTTTCCACTATGAAAGAGAACATGAAGTATTGGTTTTCTGTGTCTGGCTTATTTTGCTTAGTATAAAGTCCCCCAATTATGTCTGCTGTAGTACAAAGTATAGTATTTCATTCTTTTTAAAGACAGTAATATTTGGTTATGGGTATGGATCTCAGTAACTCTACTTGTGGACACTTCTCTTGGTTCCATTTCCTCACTATTGTGAGTAGTATGCATGTTTTTGGCTTATCATCCTTAATTGTAGCTGATGTGCCCTTGTAGACTTTCCACATTAAAATTTGTTCGTAATTTTATTAGAACAATTTTGCTGAAAATTGCCCATAAAACATTCCCTCTGAATTAATTTGCTTTTCTGTCAAGTAACTGAATGGAATAAAGTTATGTTCAAATAAAAAACTTTATAGAGGCTGGAGAGAAGGCCCTGTAGTTAAGAGCATTGACTATTCTTGCAGAGGACCCACCTAGGTTTGGTTCCTAGCACACATACACACACACACACACACACATACACACACACACACACACACACACACACACACACACACACACACACACGGTGGTTTACAACCATCTGTAACTCCAGTTCTAGGGGGTCTGATGCCCTTTTTTACCTCTAAGGGCTCCAGGCATGCACATGGTGCACACACATACATGCAGGCAAAACACTTATACACATAAAATAAATAAGTTAAAAAAAGAATTGCAGTATTCTGTCAATGGCTATGTCACGAAATAGCAAGACCTCCACCAGAGGGCGAGCTTTGCCAAGCAAATGTGGTGATAATAAACATTTCCAGAACAGGAAGTTTTTGTTACTTTTCTTTTCAACACTGAAATAAGAAGTAAAGGATATTATTTATCAATTTAATATTTATGTTTGACCTGATTTGATTTAAATTAGAAGCGGAATTTTTAAAAAAATTAACTCATTTTAGGCAAACAGATCCATCTTCTAATAATGTGCGTTCTTTTTTTACTTTTTAAAAAATGATATTGAGGGTAGGACTTAGGATTTTGCATCTGCCTAGAAAGTCCCAACCACTGATTAATATCAAAATCTTTGATTTCATGTTTTATTTTGCCTCTCTAATGTACCCAGGATCACCTCAAATTCACTGTAGCCCAGGCAGGCTGAAAACTTATGATAGATAGTCCTGCTTCAACTTCCTGAGTAGCTAGGATTACAGGCCTGCATCACCAGGCCAGGGGGTGTTTATTTTTATTAATTAAAATATGTTATTTATCGTTATTATTGTTGTTTGATTGTATGTGGGTGTTTTGTCTGCAGTATCTCTGCACACTAGATAGGGAATTGAGTGTTCTGAAGTTCTGCCTGATAGAGAATTTCTAGGAACTTATTCATTTAGGGTTTCTAAAATTACTTTAATATGATATCAAAGAGTCTTTTATGTACACATATTAACAGTTATTTTTATATCTCCCGTTCTCCAGGCTCACCCTGTGATCCCACCTTCATCCTGGGCTGTGCTCCCTGCAATGTGATCTGCTCCATTATTTTCCAGAATCGTTTTGATTACAAAGATCAAGAATTTCTTAATTTGATGGAAAAATTTAATGAAAACCTCAGACTCTTGAGCACCCCATGGATACAGGTGAGGTCAAAAGGCTTCCTTCCTAAGGAGCCATCTGGGCTCTTTCCTTTGAGAAGTCCACAGCATTATAGGGACTGAGCTGTGGCATGAATGTTTCCAGACTGGACATTTTAGAGATGTGATGTGCAGTTCTTTTTTTTTAAAACAACAACAACAACAAAACCAAACATATTCTTCAGCTCTGTGTGTACTGTGCGTGAGGGTAGGGTGGGTACAGGTGCCTGCAGAGGCCAGAACAGGGTGTTGGATCCCTTGGAGCTGGAGTTATGGGTGGTCATAAGCTGCTGGATGTAAATTCTGGGAACCAAACTCCAGTCCTCCAGCATGAACATGTTCTCTTAACTACTGAGCCATATGTCCAGCTGTTGGGGCTATAGGTTTTTAATTTTTCCTTTGTGCTTTTTATGTTCTGTAGGCAAAAAGCATTTGCTTAGAAACATTTCTAAGCTATTTCTGTGAAGCTTGTGTTCTTTGTCATGCTTGTCCTCCAAAGTCTCTGTTTTCTTTCGTTTCTGACAGAAATCGCTTTACTGTGAGAGTTATAGATGACAAAGAGGTGGAGAATAGAGATGAAGAAGAGGTGGAAGGGAGAAGGCTGTAGGGCAGAGATACAAAATGAGGAAAGGAAAGAAAGCCAAAGATGCAAAGTAGGAGCGAAAAGTAGAAGAGGCAGGAAGGAGAAATCCCACCAGACGGGCTCTGGGCCGGGCACTCAGGCCAGGGCCCAGGACAGCGGGAGGGAAAGCCTGGGTTTTTTTTTTGGGGGGTGGGTGGGTTTGGGTATTTTTTTTTCCAGGACTTTTCCTAATTTGTGCTTGTCATGGGCATTCTGGCGTTTTAAATACATCAGTATATGTGGATGCTTTGTTTGTTTGTTTGTTTTGAGACAGGGTTTCTCTGTGTAGTTTTGGTGCCCATCCTGGATCTTGCTCTGTAGACCAGGCTGGCCTCGAACTCACAGAGATCCACCTGCCTCTGCCTCCCGAGTGCTGGGATTAAAGGTGTGCGCCACCACCCCGACATGTGGATGCTTTTGAGTGGCCTGATTTCCCAAAGATACTCTCTCTCCAGCTCTTCTTCCCATGGTCTCAGTGCTCTGCCAGGAGCTTTAATTGCATTCTTTTGCCCCAGGTGACCCTGTGTTGCCTAGTGGCATGGTAAGCTTTTTTGATAGTCTTTACAACTTCTTCACCCTGAGGAGCTCTGACTTAGGTGAAACAAAGACAAAGTGCTATACCCAGTCCTTCAGCTCCCCTACCCTGTTAGGAAAAAAACAGAGAAACAGTCCCCCCCCCCCCCATTCCCCTGGAATCAAGAGCCATAGTTCTGTACACTGGGAACAGGGCTGTTGTTAAGGATGCCACTAAGACAGGGCAGAGGTGACATCAGGGCAAAACAATGCTATAATGCTTTCCTATCCCCGCCATTAAAAACCCTCCCTCAACTTATCATTGGTTTATGTAAACGTGACTATTTTCCACAATTATAACAAAGTTGTTTTAGACAGTTTTGAGAGTGTGTGTGTGTGTGTGTGTGTGTGTGTGTATTTGTGTAGAGGGATGGGCCCTGCCTACCCACAAAGAGAATGTTTCTACATCACTGTCATCTTGGGATACCATGAATGTCTCGGAAAGACAGCAGAGCACTTTATTCTTCAGAACAGAGGACAGATGACTGGACACAGGGTTGCAAGCCAAACCACAACCCACCAAACCACAGAGTCCAGGCAGCACTTTGGTACTGCCAGAGGCATGCCCAGGCTCTCAGTGACTGTCTAGGGACTTGTTGAAAACCTTCCACCACCCACAGGCTTGTCTGCCAATCAAAAATTAGAGTCATTTTCATCCCATTACTTAGCAGTTACTTCCTAATTGAGGATACCAAAGACAGAGAATGGAAGCACAGATTGCTGCCAGGAACCTCTGAGTACTAGGGGTTCCGGACCAAAGACTCAGAGGCCATCTAAAGCTGGGTCTCTAACTGAGAAAGTAATGAGAGTCAGGATATTAAGATGATTGGCATTTGGTGTGTATAAAACATAACTCTCTGTTGGACTGTCATGGTCAATTACATCACCATCTATCAAGCTGGTATCACTCTGTATAGAAGATAGTTATGTGATTTTATAGGAGTCATTTGACCACTCCTATGTATAAGTATTTGTCCATAAAATGCGGAGTTGAGTTTCATATCTTTGAGCCCTTCCCAGTTATAAAACATGATTTTATTACTGAGGTCAACTGTTAATGGTAGAAATATCAGGGAGTGACTCTGCTCTGTTTCAGGTTGACTGAACTTCCTTGACCTCTTAGTTTACCTCATGCAGGTGAGACATGGTCTTCCTGTATTTCACAGTTGTAGGTAAAAAAGAGAGAGTGGACATAAAGATGCTTTAGTAATGTAAAAATTATTGACTTGGATGTTGGAGATCTTGTCATATCTGGTCATGTGATCAGTTTAATGGAGACTCTATTAGCACTTCCATTTATACAATCGTGTACACTGAAATGTTTCTCCTCAAGTTCACCCTAGGTCTTTTTTTATTATTCTCTTATACATTACATCCTGACCACAGTTATCCCTCCCTCCAATCCTCCCAGTCCCTCTCCACAATTTGATATCTCCCCCAGATCTACTCCTCCTTTGTTTTCCTTCAGAAAAGAACAGGCCTCCCAGGAATATCAACCGAATATGGCTTAACCAATTATAATAAGACAAGGCACAAACTCTCATATCAAGTCTGGATGAGGCAATCCAGTAGGAGGAAAGGGTCCCAAGGGCAGGCAAGAGAGTCAGAGTCACCCCCACTCCCACTGTTGAGAGTCCCACAAGAATACCAAGCTACACAACCATAACATAGATGTAGAAGATCTAGCTCAGATCTGTGTAGGCTCTGTGATTGTTGCTTCAGTCTCTGTGAGCCCCTATGAGCCCTGCTGAGTTGATTCTGTGGCTACATTCTCCTGGTGTCCTAGGCCTCAATCCTTCCTCCCCCTCTTAAGTGGGGGTTTCCCTAGCTTCACCTGATGTTTGGTTTTGTCACCCTAGTTTTTAACCAGGGTTATGGTACTCATGTCTTTAATTTTAATTAATATTTTTTAATCTTCAAGGTCTGCAATACTTTCCCTGCCATAATTGATTATTTACCTGGAAGTCATAACCAAGTACTTAGAAATTTTTCCTATGTAAAAAATTATGTTTTGGAGAAAGTAAAAGAACACCAAAAAACACTGGACATGGACAATCCTCGGGACTTCATTGATTGTTTCTTGATCAAAATGGAACAGGTAAAATATTATTTGTTGGCTTGCATTTTGTGATTGGTTGATTATTTCTGTAATTATTGGGGATGCATAGTTTCTCAGGCCAGATGCACTTGGTAAAAACTTTAGGTACCTGTTGTGTGCATGAAACTGGACTAACAACCATGGAGGATTTAAAACTAAATCGTTAAATAATTAGAACACGTGGGCACTGCTTTTAGGGACTAACAATCTAGCTGAGGAAAGAGAGCATACCCATCAGGTGAAGTAGAAATACAAACAAGTCAGGCAATAAAAATACCCAGCATTGAAATAAAAGTGGTTGTAGTGGAGTGTGTGGGAGGCTGAGGAGAACGAGCATATGAGAATGAGAAGAAACTTGCTGGGCAGATTTTCTGAGTGACCTGAGGTTTGATACAGATTTTTAGTGAGAAACAGGGGAGAGGATTTCACATGGGCACAGTGAAGTGATAAGGTAGAGAGATGGGGCAGAGAACCATAGTTGAGTGTAGCTGGAAATGATTCTCCCCAGATGAGGATGCGGAAATGTTTTCAAGCACTCTAAGCCTACATATTGACAAGGGAATTTTTGATACTATATATATAAGCCTGAACTAGAGTCTAATGCAGATAACACTCAGGGTAAATTTCCTGTGAACTCCATAGAATGGTGAGCATTGATACTGAAGAGGAGTATTGAGATTTATCATCTGTATTTTAGCTTGATACGTGTCTGGATTATAGAAGTGTAGATTCAAAAGTAAATGCAAGGTGTCTATCTTATATTATCAGAGTCCCATAGGCTTCATTTTAGTTAATGGGATGGATGCTGCAAATAGCAGGAGCTATGTGGGAAACTTTGGCAGTAAGACCTATTCTGTGCCTTGGTAAGTTTAGCCAAGAGGAGAGTATTGATATGCTCAATTAGAATATAGGGTTAGGGAAGGTTAAGGAACCATTGCAGAAGCAAGGTGAAAAGATTCTAAAAGCCAGAGATCAGGGAGGATTGGACCAATGCAGTGTCTTCAGGACAGGACAGGATCTATGCACTCATGAGCTCAGAGCTGCCGTGGCTGTGTACCCAAAATCTGCACGAGATCAATCCAGTCCCCACCCTTAGCTGAGGACCTATTAACAATTGATGGCTTCTGGGGGAAGAGGGAGTTTGTTTCTTTTAAGGATGTGGTCCCTGGTAAGTCTGCCATGCACTCATGTGTATATGGGCAGCACAAATTGTACTCCATGGGTTATTAAAAAAAACAATAAAAAGAAGACAGGAAGTTGAGAGATGGGAGACAGATCTGGGAGGAACTAGGAGGAGCAGCGAGGGTAAATAAGATCAAAGCACATTGTATGACTGAATAAAATTCTCAAAGAATTAATAAAGTATCACATATATAAAAGAATAATGGTAGGAGCAGTTCAATAACTGGGTGAGAAGCATCATATAGATGTAATAAAAGCATGTGTAAGTACAAACATACTCCTTGAACTGAGGTGAGGCAAAGAGCAGAAAAAGCTAAAGAACTGAGAGAAACTGGGGGTGGGAAGACACAGATTACTTTTGATCTGTGCCTTGTCTGCTGATAGGGGGGAACTATTATTACCACAGAGATGGACTTCCATATTGCTGTGAAGTCTGCCCACTTAGCTGGATTAGGCTGGACTCCAAGGTCTCTGTTACTCACTCACCAGTGGCCTTTGCCTCAGTGCTGTATATATAAAGGGTGTTGTTCCTTGGACTTTAGTGAAGTATCAGAACCTAGCTGTTCATTGGCTATGGCTTAGTACCATCTGTGTGTAATTTTGTGAGTGTACAGGTATACGTGTATGTACAGATGTGTGCATGTGTGTAGTTTGGAAGCCAACCTCAGGCATTGCTCCTCATCATTGGTTACTCTGTCAGTTGTCAGCCTGAAGAAATCAGGCCATGCTTCCTGCAGCCCTGGGAACTCACAGTCCCCCTCTCTCCAATATAAACATACATACCTCAAGAAAGATTTCTGATCCTGCCAAGTGCCTGGCTCCAGGCATGGACTCATGTAGACTAAATCAGACTGAACCATGTGTGGGAATTCCCGCCAGTCCCCCCAAATTTATAAAAATCAGAATATTTAGTTTGTTCGAGAGTTTCTGAAGGTTCTCCTCCTCTCCATTTGGGCCCTGTCACATTGTCATGAGCATGTCTGTCAGGGGCAATCTGACAGGAGCCTGGAGGGAGAAGGAAACATGATATCTTCCATTTTTATTAGTTCTTTGAGAGTTTCATATATGCTTTGACCTTTCTTCCATTTCCTGTGTATTTATTTCATTAATTGATTACTTATAATGAAGCTTCTTCCCAGCTTTGAAGGGGGCCACTTTCCTTCTAAGGCCCTGCCGTGCTGCCTCTGAAATGATGTCTCTTCTAATGGTCTCCAACCTCAGGATCTGAATGATCATGGCTTTTGTTCTCACAAGGCCCTCTCAGTAAAGCTTACTTATGAATGGCAATTTATCAGCTCCTTTCCCCAAACTGACATCCTGATTGCTTTTTTCCCTCCAACATAACACTCTTATTAATTATTTGGGAATTTCATACAATGCACCCAGATCACACTTGATTCCCATTTCTCCCAGGTCCATCCTCCTATCTTGTGCCTCTTCATCAGAAACAAAACAAAATAAAAAATCCGCCAAGTGCAGTTGTGTTGCTCATAGATTCATTGGAGCATGGTTAAACTCCCAGTGGCCAGACCCTGAGTGCTCCCTGCCCCACCAGAAGGCTGGGGAGGTGGAAGGTTTTCACAGGAACCTTCAATGCCTCTTATTCTCAGTTATGCGTCTGCAGTCATTGATACCACTGTGAAAGAAGCTTCCTTGCCTAAGCAGCAGGCAGCAGTATGGACTGTGGATACCAACATGGTTTACAATGGCTGCTTGGATCACAGATATCAATATGGTCTCTGGGGGCAACATGGACCACAGAAGTCTTTTGAGGAGACTTAATCCAGAAAATGAATCATTCTTCATCTTGGATATCTTGTTGCTCAGAGTCAGGGTAGTTATGTGGTTGGGTAGTGTGTCTGAGGGCAGGACCTGAACAATCTTCAGGCCCCTGCACATCACCCTGCACTTGGTGCCCGAAGCCCCACAGGCACCTGGGGTTCGCAGCCATGGTCCCCCAAGTAGGGCAAGCAGCATGGCAGTGATGGGGTGAAGTGAGCCAGGTGGTGGTCTGATGTGGTGGTCCAAGTCTCCTGATGGCCCTACTCAGCAACGTGATGTTCCTTTGTTCTTCAAGGCTGCTCTCCCATACCTGTCTCTAGTTCTGTCATTTTTTTTCCAGTTCCATGAAACCACTTTTTAAAAGTATCTTCTCATAAGATCTGGCATTTTTTAGTTGTTCTGGAGATCCTGCTCGCTCAGCAGGCTCGTCCTCTACCTCCTGTCTCCACGAAGCCTCCATGGGTCTCTCAGGCTCCTTGGAGTGGCCCGACAGACCATCTTCTCCCAATCTCTCTGGCAGACATTCTGATTTCTAACAGTACTGTTAGGTTTACACATTTCAGAGTTCATAATGAGGAAGTCAATATTGTATCTAATTAAATTCTTTAACAGAATTAGTTACAATGTTTTTGTGAAAAAGTATTTTCTTTGTTATAGCTAGGATCTTAATTTGTCTATCAAAGAGCTATGTGCTAAAGACCTGCTTCCCAGCTGACGATGCTTTTGGGAGGTGATAGAACCTTTTAAAGGTGGTTCTCAACCTCCTAATGCTGCGACCCTTTAATACAGTTCCTCATGTTGCAGTAACCCCCAACCATAAAGTTATTTTTATTGCTACTTCATAACTGTAAACATGCTACTGTTATGAATCTTTTTAGAATTTTATTTATTTTTATTTTATGTCCGTTGGTGTTTTGCCATGGGTGTCGGGTCCCCTGGAACTGTAGTTACAGACTGTGAGCTGCCCTGTGGGTGCTGGGAATTGAATACAGGTCCTCTGAAAGAGCAGTCAGTGCCCTTAACCACTGAGCCATTTCTCCAGCCCCACTGTTATGAATCTTAATGTAAATATTTTTGGAGATAGAGGTTTGCCAAAGGAATCATGATACAGGATGAGAACCATTGCTTTCAGAGTTGAAGCCTAGCTGGAGGAAGTTATGTCATCGAACTGTTTCTTCAGTACGATATCCTTGTCTCTTTCCTCTCTTTGCTTTCTAGCTATGAAAGGTGAAAGTTCTGCTCTGCTGCCTTTCTTTCTGCTATAATTTTCTGTCTCCCACATATATATATATATATATATATATATATATATGTATATATATATATCTGTCTCCTATGTGTGTGTATGTGTTTGGGTACAGTGTAGTATCTTGATCCATATACATATATATATATATATATATACACATGTATACATATAACAAAATCATCAAGTCAGGTCAGTTGATGTATCCATTATCTCATGTAAGTATCATTTCTTTGTGATGAGAACATTGATAATCCACAATTTTAACAATTTTGAGGAATGGGAAATAAAGTAGGGGTTAACTAATAACATTTTCTGCTATCCTGTTTAGGTATTGTAGTTTTAGTATTAGACTTGTCATTGTTTGTTTCTTATCTTTAAGAACAACCTGAGTTATTTTTGATTCACTGTAATTAATTGTATGCCAGAAAACCAAAATAATATCCACATAAATCCTAGGAAAAGCACAATCCAAAGTCTGAGTTTACCATGGAAAGCTTGGTGGCGACTGTCACTGACATGTTTGGAGCTGGAACAGAAACAACAAGTACCACTCTGAGGTATGGACTCCTGCTGCTGCTGAAACACGTGGACATCACAGGTATGAGGAGCCAGAGAAACTCAACAGAGATGCTGGAAAACCCATTATTGAAATTGCTCTGTTGCTAGCTGTAACATGTACATATGAGGAAGAAATAAGAATGAGACAAGTTTTCACAATAGAAGAGAGTGACTGAGAGAAACAAGAAAGGGTGAACAGCAGCAGAAGCATCCAGCTCTGATTTTAGTGACCTTACTCTGATAAGGCATCTGCATTTGATGGGGGGTGTCTGTAGCAAGGCACATATGTCCCCAGCTGGTGTAGGTTGGTACATTGGTTTCCTGAAGGATAGAGGGACATGCATGTGTCATAGTGTATTTTCTCTCAATATAACAAAATAATGGAGACTAGATATTGTACAGAGAAAATTATATTTAGCTCACAGTTCTGGAGGCTGGAGAGTGTCACACTGACATCTGCTAGGGTCTGTTGAGCACCCCTGTTGGATGGGATCCTATCAGCTCCAGCACATGTGGATGTGGTGAGTGACACGTGTGGAAGAAAGATTCAGGGGCAGTGCCGAGATTTCTTGGAACAACATAACAACCCTTCCCATTCTGGATTCAGGATGGACAGGAGATACTGTGTGTATGAGGAGTCTTAGAGGAGAGGTGTGGCTGGCAACTGGATGAAGCTTAATCATTAAAAATTATTTCTAGGGTTTGAAGCATACTTGAGCATTTGTAATAATTCTAAGTTAGCATCCAACATTAGGAATTTAAGTAGGCTCTTTCATGTCCAAGAATGTGTAAAACATGTAACACAGCCACAGCTCCCTTACCTGTGAGAAATATTCATGAAGTCACATGGATACAAGAATGAGTATATATAAGATAAAAATTATAAGTGTACTGCAGGAGAGAGAAGTGTGTGTGAGAGAGAGATAGAGATAGAGAGAGACAGAGACAGAGAGAGACAGAGGAGAGACAGAGAGTGTGTTTGGGGATGCTGTCTATTTTGTATGACGTGGTGATAAATATGTGATTGTAAATAGTGCAGTAAAATAATAGAAATGCCCATTACCTCTGAATGTGAATATAAATTTCCCAAGATACTTAAAGAATGTTTTGAATGGCTGGAAAGATGGCTCAGAGGTTAAGAGCACTGGCTGTTCTTCCAGAGGGCCTGAGTTCAATTCATAGCAACTACATAATGGCTCACAACCATCTATAATGAGATCTGGTACCATCTTATGGCATTCGGGCATACATGCAGGCAGAACTCTGAATACATAATAAATTAATAAATCTTTAAGAAAAAAAAGAATGTTTTGAAGTGAGTGCCTTTGGCATATGAGGAAAATACAGAAAACGACTGGGAATTTACAGATAAGCAAGAACATATGCACACATACACACACACATGCACACACTCATCTGCCAGGAGAATTCAATTACTACCATATGTTAATTTGATATGACACTAATTCTTATTTTCTTGTTTTTGTCCTTACAGGGGTAGGAATTTCTTAGTTCATATGTGTAAAATATCTGTATAGTAAAGCATTTAACCATTCTCATGTGCACTGATTATCCTGTATGATAATATGTAGAAGTATATCTACTTAGTGAGTGCCTGGGTTTCAGGTAGTTCTATTTTCCCATGGCATTACAAGTCTAGATGTGCTTAGGGTCTGTGATGCTGTTGAGACATCTTCATCCTGCTCCATGTAGCACTGACTTGCTGTGGCAGTTGCGCTACTTTTCCCCCATTATATCATTTCCCACTTTGTCTGACTAGCCAAAGTCCAGGAAGAGATTGAACGTGTGGTTGGCAGGAACAGGAGCCCCTGCATGCAGGACAGGAGCCACATGCCCTACACAGATGCTGTAGTGCATGAGATCCAGAGGTACATTGACCTCATCCCCATGAACCTGCCTCATGCAGTGACCTGTGATGTTAAATTCAGAAACTACTTCATCCCCAAGGTAAGCTTGTTTCTCTCACTCTGCCACTTAGTGTTGATGAAGTTCCCAAATTCACATCTTGGTTCCTACTACAGTTGCAAATATATAAGAGAATATTTAAAGTAGTAATATGCAAAAGTATTTTAAAAAGAAAAGTATAGCTCTTAAATATCATAAACTTAGAAACATGGAGTTTCCAACCTCTTATGAAATATTACTAGCTTGATTTTTGTTGCCGTGATAAGCACCATGTCTAAAGGCAACTCAGAGAGGAAAGGGTCTATTTAATCTTATAGGTCATAGTCCATCACTGAGGAAAGTCAGGTCAGGAACACTAGCAGGGCAGGGACTTGAAGCAGAAGCCATGGTGGAATGGTGCTTACTGGCATGCTCTCCCTGGCTGTTGTCCAGAAAGCCTTATTATACAAGCCAGTTCACTTTTCTGGCACCACTCATAGTGGGCTGGGCCATTTCATGTCAATCATCAATCAAGACAGTGCCCTACAGACATACCCATAGGCCAGTCTAGTCAAGGCAATTCTTCAGCTGAAGCTCCCTCTTACAACTCTGGGCTATGTCAAATTGATAGCTGAAGTAACTAGGAGACTTTCTATACTCAGCACTTAAATGGATATATGCGTGTGTTCTTATATGTCATGTGCATATAAAGTATAAAGGTGTTTAGAACTATATTTTAGTCTATTAAATCTGTCACACTTAACACTTAAATATTTTGATGTGTATCTCCCAAGACTGAAGACTTTTTGCTACAAATTGATAAGCACCTTCACACTAAAGAAATTATCAATATACTAATATTATCCTTCACACAGTTTAAGATTACGTTTTCTAGTTATACCAAGATATCTCTTATAGATTTAGGGGGAGAACTTTTCATAGTGCAATAAAGGAACAAATCTACAGTAAGGTTCTCCAAAATTGAGAGCATTTCCTTTAAATAATTTCTTGATACAACAATTGTTTTGAAGAGTCAAAGCCACTTGACCTGTGAAATGTTCCTCTGTCTGATTTTGTGTGGAGGTTTTCTTGGAGATTAGGGGTCAATTGTGTGTTTTGAACAAGGACATTTAAAAGATGATGCTCAATCGATGGCCTGCTTCATCAGACTGTGGCCCTGGATACACTGTGGTCCCATTGTAGATGACGCTAAGAATCATTTTTCCTACAGAATGTTTTTTCAGGTCCTCTGTTAATGAGGTTCTGTATTCTGCATTAAAACAAAACAAAACAAAACTCTACAGGATGGAATTTAATTTTTGAATATTCTATTTTCCAAATAATTTATCAATAGTTTTAACATTAATTTATAATCCCTGCCTGAGCATTCTATTTTCTAAATAATTTGCCAACAGTTTATAAAATTAATTAGTAATTTTAAAGATAAATATAATCTTTGACTTTCTGTAATGCAACCTGACCACACTCACCCTCTCCTTCCTGTCTTCTCCCTCTCTGACTTTCATGAAACCTCTTCATCCCATCAATACTCCTCCCCCTCCCACACCTACTGGGTTAATGAGGGCATCAGCATTTCATGGGTGTGGAACTATCCTCTGGAGCATGGAGGATTTATCAGTGATCATACCACTCTTAGTACAACTAATTGATAATCCCTGCCTGAATTGATAATTCTGAATTGTGAAATGATGGAGATCCTCATTTTTTTAAATCTCTCTTGTACTTTCAAGGTAGGGTTCATCTATATGATGAGGTTCCCACATTTTTAATGATAAGCACATAATATATCCCAGTGAAAAGTGCTCAATAATTGAAAGTATACCTGTTGCTAGTATATTTAAAGTTATCATTAATTAGATCAGATGTCCATTTAACAAAAGCTTAAGCAAAGGATTCTAAATTCTCCTTACTTTTCAAGAATGAACACAGACTTTCACCTAAAACTATAGCTAATATGAATTGAATGAGAACAGAAGTGATACATATGGCAGTGGTGAGGGCAGACACCAGTGTCCAACCTTGGTAATAGCTAGAGTGGGTTCATAAGTTTTTGTACCAAAATCTCAAGTAATCAGTCTTTCAATTGCTAATGGAGATCACAGTAGCAAAGCTGCTGTTGCTACTAGTATTAAATTCATCTCATCAATTTTGTGTCTTCTTTACAAAAACAACATTGAGTCCACTTTGTGCTACTCATACAATCATGGATTGTGTAGCCATTGGCTCAAGTGTAATTGACCTACCAGAGGTCACACCCTTAAAGAAAACTGACTCCTCAACTCCCAACAGAGAAGCTTTGTTTGCAGGAGATGAATGGTGGTGAACACAGAGACCTACAACTTGATCAGGATACATAGAATATGAGATCTCAGAAGGCTCAGCCATAAATGGGGTGTCTATATCACACCTCTTCCTTTCAAGGCTAAAGGATCATTGTGGAAGATTGGTCAGAAAGATTGTAAGAACCAGAGGTAGCAGATAATGTGGAGGCCCACAGAACTTTCCTAGTGAGATCTGAGATTGCTTTACCCAGCAGGGCTCATAAGGGGATGGCTTGACCATGTGCATGGTTATCAGGTGTTTGGTTTTTTTTTTGTTTTTGTTTTTGTTTTTGTTTTTTTTTTTTGTTTTTCGAGACAGAAGGTTTCTCTGTGTAGCTTTGGAGCCTGTTCTGGATCTCGCTCTGTAGCCCAGGCTGGCCTCGAACTCACAGAGATCCGCCTGCCTCTGCCTCCTGAGTGCTGGGATTAAAGGCGTACGCCACCACCGCCCGGCTTATCAGGTGTTTGGAAGGGTCTGCACTTGGGTTGTGCGGTATACTTTGATCTAGCAAGGGGGAGGTCTTTTGCACTGCCCCTTGGCATTGTTATAAAAAGCCCCTTTGTAGAGACAGAAAGGGTCAGTGGATCTTGATCCAGGACCTCCCAAAGCTATTCTGTGTTTCTGTCTGTCTCATCTCTAGTATCTTTCTATCTACAAATTTCTTATGCCTTTCTCCTCCTTATAGGAACTCTGTAAAAGGTGGGAGCAGGCCTCCCACAAGATAATTACAAAGAAACAGTGTTTTCTGGACATAGGTAGGCAGGTTACACATATGAACTCATAGGTGTAATCTATGAACCCACAGCAGTTGTGACAGCATGCATGAGACCTGTACAAGCTTAAACCAGGACATGAAGATCCACCCTGAGCTGAGGAGCTAGTCTCAATTCCTCTCTCTTCTTCCTTCGTCTGTGTGTAAATGTCACTGCTCTGCTTTGGACCCAGTGTCTTTATCCATAAGTCAAACAGATTAGTCTAGGTGAGTTCCTTCATTTCTTCCCTTTTAACTTTCATTATGTCTGTTGGCTGTTTTCAGGGTACCACTATAATAACATCACTGACATCCATGCTGCATGATGACAAAGAATTTCCTAATCCAGAGAAGTTTGACCCTGGCCACTTTCTGGATGAGAGTGGCAACTTCAAGAAGAGTGACTACTTTGTGCCCTTCTCAACAGGTAACAGAAATTCACTTCCATTTGTACTTTGGAGTACATAATAGAATTTTAGGATCAGGTGCAATGTGACTTTGCTGGGACTGGTAGAATTGCTCTTTGTATGTTAGGAAGAGTACCACTTTAATGATTGTGTATTTTCTATGCATGTAATAATTCCTCTTTATTGGACCCCATCAGCGAGCATTGCAGACTCTAGCACAGTTTTTTCAAGTTAAGAAAGCAGAGTATATTTATTGATTGAACTTGGGCACTGGATATAACCCCCAGTTTCCCAGGAGCTTCTCTTGAGAGCTGACATCATTTAGACTTTCCCTCATCTGCCACAAGAGAGGTATCTAAGTCCACATGTTGAGTATCTCCTCTGTGGCATCCTTCACTCTGGGAATGCAAGTGCCCTAGAGAATAGAGCATGCTCACGCTCTGAAAGAGACTCACTCCTGAGTTGGGGAAGCAGGTGAGTCAACAAGGCACTGTAACCTAGTTGGATTAATGCTGTGAGAAAGGGAGTCAGGGAGGAAGTTACTCAGATCTTGCGCTTTCACACCCAAACAGGATTACTTTAAAAGGTCAGAGGGAAGTTGGCTGGCTCATAGGGAGCAAGGAAGTAAGAAAAGAAGAGGAGGCAGGGTACTGTACAGAGGAAATGAAGTACAGGAGAGGATATTTTCTGTAGATGCATGAAGTCAGAACCTGCCAAGTAAATGCAGGTTGAGAAAGGCCTTGGGCATGTGGAAGGACACTCTGTGTGATTCCAGAGCTCCTAGAGTTTCCTTTACTTAGGATCCTCCACCTTGATGTTCAATTTCAGTGCTCCATTATGTGTGCTGAGTCTCTGAGCATGGATTCATTTTTACCTTTTGCTGTAGGGTTTGATTCTTATGTTGGTCCTGAAAATGTGCAAATTGAGATGTGTATACAGAGCCCTCCCCTTTTTTCTTAAGGAACTCATTTTGGCAGGGAGGCAAAAGATAAGAAAGCATAGCATTCAAGCAATCCCTGCTAAGTAGAATTATGCATATGATGAGGAAACCTACAGAAGCTAAGATCCTATTGAGACACAAGGATCATAAAGAGGTGTAGCACGAATCTTAAAAGGTCTTATTAATAAAATCAAACCTGGATATTGGGTTAAAGCTGGAAGATCAGAGAAGGAGAACAAGCCATAGCCTCCTCATCTCGCAAACTCCTCAGCTGATCCTGTTTCCTCAGACTGGAAGCCTCTGAGTATTCATCCAAATGAATCTCAGCTGAACTGCTGCTAAAAGCCTAAAAGCTTAACCAGGCTCTAGTTCCTGGTCTTCACACCTTATATACCTTTCTGCCTCCTGCCATTACTTCCTGGGATTAAAGGCATGAGTCACCATGCCTGGCTGTTTCCAGTGTGACTTTGAACTCAGAGATCCAGATGTATCTCTACCTCTGGAATGCTAGGATTAAAGGCACCTGCTACCACTGCCTAACCTCTATGTTTAATATTATGGCTGTTCTATTCTCTGACCCCCAGATAAGTTTATTGGGGTGCACAATATATCAACCACAAAGAGGGAAGGTCATAACTCCTGAGGGAAGCATCAAGAGCACTGCTTAGTCAAATGGGGCAGCTTGAAGTTTTCAGCTTCATGGTGTCAGAGATTGGTGAAGGGAGCTGTGTCTAGAGCTGAGAATGTGATGTGTGTCTTCTAGACTCATGCCTAACAACTCATGACTATTTACTACATACTTTGCATGACAATTCACAGCACAGTAATTCAGGGACAACTCTGTTTTTGCTGTCCTCAGGAAAGCGGATGTGTGCAGGAGAAGGCCTGGCCCGAATGGAGCTGTTTTTGTTCTTCACCACCATTCTACAGAACTTTAACCTGAAGGCTCTAGTTGATGTAAAGGACATTGATACCACACCAGTTACCAATGGATTGGGCCATGTGCCCCCTTTGTACCAGGCTCGCTTTATTCCCGTGTAAAGGGCAGACTCTATACTCCCAATCTGCATCTTCTCTTCTTTGAGGGTATTGTTCATTTCATTTCTGGTACTGTAGTTGCTTTCTCTCACACTTCCCCACTCCCTTGAGATCCCGTGAACAGCAAACCTCATTAAACAGAGTTCCTTCTCTGAGTCAGTACATTGTTCAACCCGTTTGTCCCCTGTGTTTCGTGACACTCCCATGCAATACTTACGTAGTATGTGCTAGTACTTATATGATTCAGTTACTACTAATACTATGTTTTTACTGTAAAACAGCAAAATCCTTAGAATATGACAATTCAGAGCCATCCGTCCTCTGCATGTGCTGAATAAAAACTAATTTCTGGGACATTTCTCAGACTCTCTTTCTTATGGGCATAATGCAAGGAAGAAGTAAAGAAAACAGTCTCCAGAGGCCATGTTTGCTCTCATAAAGATTTATACCTAAAGGGACCAAGAAGAATAGGGCAGAAATGCTTTATTGACTGTTACTGGACATTTGGACTTGGACAAGAGAAACTGTATCCAAGAACAGTGTTAGGTACTGGGAATAATTCAGAGTATCAGTCATAGTGAGAGTGAATATTAGTTATTAGAGTTAATACCCCTGCTTTGGTGTTTACTGTGAACATAAAGTAGGGATAGTGAATATTGTTTTTGCTTTCTGTTTCCAACTTAAGAGTTAAACAGTAATTAATGTGTCTGTCTTGTCAATTCAAAGTTCTACATGTTTGACTAAGGAGATGGTTCAATTGATAAAGCGTTTGCTGTGGAAACAGGAGGAATCAAATTTGATACCCAGAACCTATGTTAAAAAAGGCAGGGCTTGCTTCTCTGGAGCTGTGGGTTGTAGTCTGGTTATCTTTTGCTTTACATCTAGTATTCACTTATGAGTGAGTACATACCATGTTTGTCCTTCTGAGTCTGGGTTACCTCACTCAGGATGATATTTTCTAGTTCAATCCATTTGCCTGCAAACCTCATGATGTCATTGTTTTTCTCTGCTGAGTAGTACTCCACTGTGCATATGTTCCACATTTTGTTTATCCATTCTTCAGTTGAAGGGCATCTAGGTTGTTTCCAGGTTCTGGCTATTACAAATAATGCTGATACGAACATAGTTGAGCATGTGTCCTTGTGGTATGATCGAGCATTCCTTGGGTATATGCCCAAGAGTGGTATAGCCGGGTCTTGAGGGAGATTGATTCCCAATTTTCTGAGAAACTGCCATACAGATTTCCAAAGTGACTGTCCAAGTTTGCAGTCCCTCCAACAGTGGAGGAATGTTCTCCTTGCTCCACATCATCTCCAATATAAGCTATCATCAGTGTTTTTGATCTTAGCCATTCTGACAGGTGTAAGATAGTATCTCAGAGTTGTTCTGATCGACATTTCCCTGATGACTAAGGATGTTGAGCAATTCCTTAAATGTCTTTCAGCCATTAGAGATGCTTCTGTTGAGAATTCTCTGTTTAGCTCTTGTTCGAGCCCACTAGATTTCCTAGTGGCTGTTCCCAGCAGGATTGCATAAGAGGTTGATTGGACCATGGGCCTGGGACCAAGTGACTGTAACTAGCAAGGGGGAGGTCTTTTGTTTTACCCCTTGGCATTGTTATAAATAGACCTTTGGAATAAAGTTCTGGGCCAGTGGATAAGGATCCAGGCCCACTCGAGTCTATCCTGTGTTTTCTCTCCATTCTCTATTTCTAACTAACTCTTATTCCTCATTCCTCAAGAGTTCCTGGGGTAAATAAGTGTGGGGACTGGTCCACCACAGATGGTGCCACAAACAGGAACCAGGGACTTGGCGAAAGGATTGTAGGGGGCATTGCGAGTGTAGGCATGCCGATAAGGGGACTGGTCCACCACAGATGGTGCCACAAACAGGGACCAGGGACTTGGCGAAAGGATTGTAGGGGGCATTGCGAGTGTAGGCATGCCGATAAGGAATTGAAAAATGAAAGCAATGGTATTTTATTCTTGGGTGTATAAGTAGGCAGTGAAATGCCTCAAGGCTGCAGCATTACAGTTCTCTCTATAGATCTCTCTTTCTCTCTCTCCTCTCTTTTCTATCTACAAAAAATAAGGAAGGTAGAATGTAGCAATATACGAAGGTAGAATGTAGCAATATAGTGCAGGAAAAACTTAGAAGTGTAAGGTAGTATAGAAAAAGAATTTACTTATAGAATGTAGGTTTAAATAGGTCATAGATTTAGTATAAAGTGAGTCAGAGAAATGTAGGTTTAGAATATATAGGCCTTAGATTTAAAGATAAGGTGAAAAAAATAATTTAGAGTAGATTTTCCCAACCTGGGACTCAGAAAGCAATGTCCATCGCAGACTGTGGACTTGGCAGTTCCAGAAAGCCACCAATAACAACAAGAAACAGTTCCAGAGACAGCCAGCTTCAGAAGATAGCAGCCAGAGGGTCTCGGAAGCCAAAACCCTCAAGGCATCAACGCCGTGCAGGTGGTAGATGCACGAGGGTCTACAAGCTTTCTACCGAAAGAAAGCCACGTGACAAACGAACAAGCTAAGCCATGAGAGAGGCTAACGACAAGCAGTAGTTTGGAAAGCCCTGCAGAGATGCCGTGCTGGGGGAAAGATGAGCAGTGAGGTTCTGCAAACCTTTGAGACACTACACGGCGAGAAAGGCGAACAGTGGAGAAAGCCTAGCATTTGTGTCGCCTCAGAAAAGATGAACAGCAAGCAGAGCAGCGGTGAACAGTGGAGACGGCAGAGACCAGCCTGCTTCCAGGACCGGAGAATGGTGTCAGTGCCAGACAAGCAGCTGAGATGCGCTGGAAAGCAGGAAGCTGAGGAGGTGAGAACCGTGCTTCAGACTGAACAGCCTGCCTGAAAATCTGCGGCAACTGCTGAGACTGACTGCAGCCCGAGCTCCCAGCAGAGAGACAGCCATGCAGCAGGATAGCATTCGGAGGATTCCGGGGACCGGTTTGCTGAGCACTTGGACTGTCAGTGGTGCAGGTAATGGGTTTTCCTCCCAAAGCCAGGGTTGCTGTGGGAAGGCCACAGTTTCAGCTCATGGCAGCTGAAGGAGCCTTGAGGCCATGTGGCTATGAGGTAAAGCTCTCTATCTTGGTCCGGGACTGGTTACGGAAGGCTACGGACTGCAAAGCGCAGCAGTAGTTGAAAGCAGGGGTTTCAGAGAAACTTGCTCGAACTGAAAAGTTTTGGTTGTGGGACTTCTATTTGGGACTGTTTGCTACAGAGTCATTCCGATTCTGACAGCTATACACAGACTTAGCTACACACAGCTATACACAAGCCAGGCCCTGTCTACGAGTGCTCAAAGGAACTTTTAGGAATGGTACTAAAACTCTTTTTGAACTTAAAAAATAAAATGGACAGTAATGATTTTATCACAGTGGGACAGTTTGAATTTACTTATGCATATAGACTCTATCAACAGTGATGACTTATGAACTGCTTATGTAAAAATGGAACTGTTTAAAGAGAGAAGTGTGGTTTTGTATTTTTTTTAAAGAAAAGGGGGAGTGTTAATATTCCTCAGTATATTTAATTTAAAAAATATTTTCGTATTACTTGAGTGAATTAATGTTATGTTTTGTATAGTTCTAAATTGTAGGTTGAGAGTAGGCTTGTAGGTTGAGAGTAGGTTTGCAGGTTGAGAGTGTAGGCTTGTAGAAATTATTATGTTAACCTATTGATACACCATGGTTTGGTGAAGTTAAGAAAGTATTTAAGTTTAAGATGTATACTTCAGAAGTTTATCCTACGTTTTGTTACCAAGAAATATTAAGAGTTTGCTTTAAGATGTAAGATTGAGAAAATTGTAACTATGCATAACAATATTTATATTAGAATTATGTTAACCTGTTTGTCTTTAAGTTTGATGCAGTTGCATCAAGAATTTTTTCTTTTAAAATATAAAGAAGAGGAACCTGTTGGAGCCTATTAAGTTTCCTAGTGGCTGTTCTCAGCAGGACTGCGTAAGAGGTTGATTGGACCATGGGCCTGGGTACTACGTGACTGTAACTAGCAAGGGGGAGGTCTTTTGTTTCACCCCTTGGCATTATTATAAATAGACCTTTGGAATAAAGTTCTGGGCCGGTGGTTAAGGATCCAGGTCCACCCGAGTCTGTCCTGTGTTTTCTCTCCACTCTCTATTTTTAACTAACTCTTATTCTTCATTCCTCAAGAGTTCCTGGGGTAAATAAGTGTGGGGGCTGGTCTGCCACAGCTCTGTAGCCCATTTTTAAGTTGGATTGTTTGGTATTTTGATGTCTAGTTTCTTGAATTCTTTATATATTTTGGAGATCAACCCTCTGTCAGATGTGGGGTTGGTGAAAATCTTTTCCCATTCTGTAGACTGTCATTTAGTCTTATTGACCGTGTCCTTTGCTCTACAAAAGCTTCTCAGTTTTAGGAGGTCCTATTTATTAATTATTGCTCTCAGTGTCTGTGCTACTGGTGTTATATTTAGGAAGTGGTCTCCTGTGCCAATGTGTTCAAGACTACTTCCTACTTTCTCTTCTATCAAGTTCAGAGTAATTGGATTTATGTTGAGGTCTTTGATCCATTTGTACTTGAGTTGTGTGTATGGTGACAGATATGGATCTCTTTGCAATCTTCTACATGTTGACATCCAGTTATGTGACATCTAGTTATGCCAGCACCATTTGTTGAAGATGCTTTCTTTTTTCCATTCTACAGTTTTGGCTTCTTTGTCAAAAATCAGGTGTCCATAGGTGTATAGATTAATGTCAGTGACTTCAATTCGATTCCATTGGTCCACATGTGAGTTTTTATGCCAGTACCAAGCTGTTTTTATTACTGTAGCTCTGTAGTAGAGCTTGAGGTCAGGGATGGTGCTAGCTAACAAGGAGGACCCTAAGAGGGATGCATGGATCACCCTGTGAAGGAGAAAAAGATGAGATCTTCATGAGCAAAATGGGGGTGGGGGGCAATGGAGGGTAGGAGGTAGGGGATGAGAACATAAGGAAATGGGACATTTGAGCTGGAACAGGGACAGAGTGGGAGAGCAAGGAAAGAGATACCATGATGGGAATGGTATGGGAAGGAGATGGGAATAGGGAGAAACAAGATGCTAGGGAAGTTCCCAGGAATCCACAAGGATGACCCCACCTTAGACTACTAGCAATAGTGGAGAGGGTGCCTGAACTGGCCTACTCTGGTAATCAAATTGGTGAATACCCTAACTGTCATCATAGAGCCTTCATCCAGTAACTGTTGGAAGCAGATGCAGATATTCATGGCTGGGTGCCAGGCCGAGCTCCAGGGGTCCAGTCAATGAGAGAGAGGAGGGATTCTATGAGCAAGGGACATCAAGATCATGATGGGGAA